AACAAATAACACCCATGATTGTTATGGAACTCGACACAATCACTAAGTTCTCTATAGTTCTCATTTATCATCTAGTAAATGTCAGTCCCCAACCCTCATGAACTGTACAGTGCATATCAAGTGAGATAATACAACCTGTGAATGTCTCAAATAATTGTGTCATTTCGTATATTAAGGAAGTTCCTATTAGTTTCAGCAATTTCTTGCAACGGGATGTGATTTCATATATAATTCAAACAAGGAAGTATTATATCTTTAATATATCCTGTCTAGGATATCCATGCTGGTCAATATAGATATTTATGAAATGTACTTACAACACACTAACTCACTGCGTAAATGTTCGTCAGAGGACTATAGAGTGGAGAATCATATTATTTATGAGGTATAAGATATCTGTTCTTTTCATTTCTGCAGCAATTTGGGCGTCTCTCCCGGTCTCCCACATTGTACGAACATTCTATGTACCTAAATTAATGGTTGTTCTGGATGTCAGAAGGAGCATCAGCCTTGTGACCTCTGAAGGAACTTGGCTTTCACTATGAGCCATCATAACTCTTCTAAGTGGAAATCTTCTAACTCCCAGGGTAGAGTTTAAATGGTTTGAATTATTTTTTCTAGTTAGCGTTTTTTTAGCAAGTTAGTTTTCTATGAGATAGGGTTGTTAACCCCATGCCCAACCCTCGTCCTTTATCCGAGCTTGGGACCGGAAGTAGCCACAGAGGGGCTTCAGGCGGCCTATGCTCCATTGTGAGTAACAAGTGTAAGGAAATAATATGATATTTGTTGCTACAATCCAGGACTTTTAATCACTTCTTAAGTGAAAAATTATCGTTATTTACTGACATTATGATTCTCATTAGTTAATCAGTAATAAACAACGACTAGTCTAGAAAATATATCAAAGAATTCGCTTTGAAATCTGTGTAAGTTATACATGATCTAAACCTTCAACAACTTGGTTATCCAGTCACAAATACAGTAGATTCAAATATGGTCGCATCGCTGAAGTCACTGTGAATCTACTTATGAAGATAATTAGAACGTGATAAATTCTTGTTCAATAAATACAAGAACTATAGTTGTTAGCTAAGAATATAACTAAATGAGTATTCATTTGTGTCAACGACTAATAATCAATCTGGTCATAGTAATCTTTCTCATTTAGTTAATGTTCGACTAAGCTTGTATTTTTCTTAATGTACTCAATATATAGAAGAACTGAGGTTACGAAAGCCTCAATATAATAAAATTCTCGAAGTTCTGGTGAGAAGCCGTGACCAGTGGAGCTAATCTGTGTCGGATAGAAACAGGCGTCTACCTCAGTAAAATGGAAGATGGTCACGCAATTTCGTGGATTGGTTGAGGTTAGACATTAACACCATTGGATGCTGGCTCAGTGGTCTAGTTTGTTAAGCGCCTGACGCGAGACTGATAGGTCCTGTTTTCGAATCTCGCATGTGGGGTCGTAGATGCGCACTGCTGAGGAGTCCCATACTAGGATGGGACGGCCGCCCAGTGCTTACAGGCTTCCCATGGTGGTCTAGCTTCAATCGACTCATGAATTGAATCAAAAAAATTAAAACGATTCGATACCCCTCATCAAACAGTCACTGGGAATTCAATTTTGTTCGTAGCAATGCAAAATGGCCATCCATACGATAGGATATAAGACGGTGAAGCATTTAATCAACTAGGTCTTCAAAGAATTGCTAAAATAGGTTTGTAAAATTAGAAAAACACTATATCAGACAAAGCGGACACCCTGTTCATCTTCACCTGCATGAACATTAATTGGAGGTCAAACACCATGACATATCCTCCCTTATATCAATGCACGTGGACAACTGTAATAATGTGGAGAACTTGGATAAAGGGAATTCTAAAAAACATCAGAGGTTTTTTAAAAGCTTGGCACTCTTATCCATCAGCAACAAACAAGCACATTAACATCGATCCAATTTATCAACCAATCAGGAAAATTATGGACAAACATAGGAATAAAAATCAAGCCAATGGGAGATACAGTCAAAATAAAGAAGTAAACAATGCCATGTTTTTACGATTAACAATCACCAATGAAGATCGAGGTCTACAGAACAAGCTGGGAGTCATATGTAGAGAAATTTGAACACCTCACTTCTACTTGAAGTTTGTGTTGATGGTGTTGTTCAGAAGAACGATGAGAAATTACAACCAAACCATTCAGCTCAGAGAACAAAACTCCATCAAAATGAAAGATAAGATGATTACTATCATCTTAAGTTCTGTAAACAACATTTTTCCTGACTCCAATTAGTGTACTCATTGAACAGGATAGTCATTTTGTTAGTTATCAGACGTTTATTCATTCACATTTAATATGATACACTAAGAAAAAATTATTTTAATAGTTGAGATCATGAGTCATTTGAACTTAGACTACCATGGGAAACCTGCACGTACTACACGGCCATTTCGTCCTAGTATAGGACTCCTCGGCAGTGCGCATGCAAGATCCTATTCACAACCTATCGGTCCTAGGTTAGTAACCCGAGACCTGACTCAAGGTAAATCATTTGTTGCTCGTTATCGGAATATACATGTCGCCAATCGTCGCATATAATTATCGACTTAAATCGCGTCAGCGAATAACGGTATCACATAAATCAAATGCGAGAATGGATTTTGCATACGTATATTTTATACAATCGTTGATCGAAAAGCAAAGTAAAACGAAATGACGTGCGGTGGAGAAGGCAAGTGAACCAACTCCATCACGTGTCATTTTGTTCTGCTCTCTTCTCTTCACTTCGTTTCTCCG